CGCGGTGTTTACGCTAGCCCCTTGAAAGAGGAGATTGTTCAGAGTCCTACCCAGCTTCTTAGGGTAATTGCGCGTGGAGACCAAGCGCGTAGAACTGCAAGCACCCAGTTTAATGCGAGGAGCTCCCGAAGTCATGCAGTCGTACAAATCGTGGTGGAGAGCCGAGAGCGGATACCAGGGAACCCTGGAGGTGGCGACAGCAAAAGGTCCGGAATGCTACCCGGTGGCGTGCGAGTGTCAACATTGAGCTTGATCGATCTCGCTGGATCCGAAAAGGCTGCCGAGTCCAAAGAGCGAAGAACCGAAGGCTCGCACATCAACAAGAGTTTGCTCACTTTGGGCACTGTCATCTCCAAACTCTCGGAGCACAAGGACAAGGATGGAAAGGCGGCCGACAAGGACGGGAAGCATCTGCCTTATCGCGACAGCAAGCTGACCAGGCTTTTGCAAGGCGCGTTGTCAGGCGGATCGCTGGTGAGCATTCTTTGCACTATTCAGATTGGCGCGGCTGGCAGCGCTGCGTCCTCGAACTCCCACACATCAGAGACGATCAACACCCTCAAATTCGCATCCAGAGCAAAGAATAATATTGTCAGTCATGCCAAGAAGGCGGAAGAGGCTCTCGGAAGCGGTGGTGATGGCGGTGCGAGAGTTCTCTTGGAGCGGTATCGCATGGAGATCCTTGAGTTACGGCAACAGCTCGATACACAAGCCAAGGAAAAGAATGCAAAGTATGCCGAGGAAGAAAGAGAGCGAGACGTCTTGGAGGAGAAGGCCCGTGAACTTGAGGCTGAGCATCGGCATGAAGAGCAAATGCTCGAAATGCAGCTGGCTCGCACAGCGCTTAAAGAACGGATCGATCACCTCAACCGTCTGATCTTGAGTTCCAAATCAATTGGTGTCAACGTCAGCGGCTCTTACAGCGCTCTTGGCATCCATCCTCGGTCCTCAATGGCATCAGCAAGATCATCATTGGCCACTTCTAATGGCGGCAGGCCACTTCTCGAAAGGACAGCATCAATGACATCGGCGTCATCGACCATAGGCCGTCGTTCTAGCGGTCGATCGAGTGGAGGACAACGCCAATCTAGTGGCGAAGGAGGGCTTGTAACAGACGACGACAGCATTGGCGAATATGGTGACGGAAGCGCCTCCCTATCAGCTCAGAACCGCGCCTTGCAAGCCGACCTAGCGGACAAGACAAGATACATCCAGACGCTGGAGAAACGGCTTATGCAGGCACGAAGAGCCAGTTCTTCGAGGACTTCAGTTGGCTTCTCCGCCCCGAATAAGGGCATCATGGTCGGAGAAGACCATAGTGTGTCAACGCTTCTGCGGGAGAAGGACGCCGAGATCGCAGAGCTTCGGGCTAGACTGGACGACAAGGATCGCATGTTGGGTGCGCTTCGGTCTGCAGCGCGTTCTCGAGACACGGCAGAGGGCCACACCGATGGCAGGACATCGGCCCTTTACGAACACAGCCCACCACCGACGGTGAACCCGCCACCAGCACCATCCGCCGCCCATAACACTCCTCGCAACCGTACCAAGAGTGTCGATGAAATGAGCAAGATCCTGGATGAGATGATCCAGGACCGCGTCGAGACGGGCCATCTCGTGAAGGGAGCACGGGGAAGCATTCGCGTCGTCAGCGATCGTAAACTTGAGGTGCATCCAGAGTTGCCTGCGGATCTCGAACCCCTCAGGAAGGCAGCATCATTTGATGAAACCAACAAGGTCTCGGTGATGGGCATGTGAGACGGTCTTTTCTGTCGGGAGTGTGAGTTTCAACGTTTTTATCTGGTGTGGGAATGGTTGGACTTCGCGAGGGTGCCTCACGAGGCCAGAAAGGCGTTCGGGAAAGGTCGACAACGATCTGGTTTTGTTTTTTTCTTCTTATACCCTACACTTTACTTCGCCGTAGTCGCTGGTTGGAAGAACGGCGGTTCAAGTCACCCTCTTTCGACGTTAGCTGAGACTGTCGGTTTGTTTTATTAGCGTACTGATACGCCCACGAAGGAGGAGTCGGCAGAGATTTCAGGCACTGTACGACCAGGTGTGGTCCCAGTGCATTAGGCAGGCTCAGGATATTGATATTGGCGGAAGTTTCAGAGAAGGATTGGGAAAAGCGACGAGGCCTGCCTGTGGCAGTTTAATATTGGATTGATGGATGATTATGATGGCTCACGTACATCAGAAAGCAGGCCTGGTCAGCTAGCTAATAACGGATGAGCGGTTACGACATCCAGAAGAAGAGAATACCACGATCCATCAAATGCCACCATCCTTCCCGTACCCGTGCTCGTACCCGTGACTGTGGCCGTGATCGAAGCCAAACAGCGGAGATGATTGTAAGGGTTGGGTACGTTTGCTTTACATGCCCATTGGACCTACAACGCGCATATATAATCGACTTGGGGAAACGGTGTGCCAATCGCAAGGACCCGTCACAATGTGTCACGTCTTCACCTCGCGGATTACTGCATTCTGTTTGCCACCCATTGTGACCACCAGTTCTGTTTGATGGCAACGCAGGTCGCCTCACGAGACGGAGTGCTAGCCGGGACTTGGTGAATCTAAGATTGCAGAATAGGATAGGCGGAGGACGACCGTTGAGAGAGGGGGCGGGGGAAGGGGGGGATGGCAGACGGGGCGACCCTTCTCAACGCCATGTCGAAGGGGGGCCGCATGTTAGTCGCGATGTCAGATCAAGGCGTCTTAGTTCAACCCTAGCGTGAGTTTCTCATCTCATGCAAAATGAGTACTCGAGAATCTCAACGGTAACGTAGGAAAACTATCACAGGCCATCACAAAGATATCAGATCATCACATGGCCATCACAAAGGTGCAATCTCGGCGATTCCCGACCATCATTTTCAGAGTGCTTTCTTGGGGGAGCAAACAGAGTTTATGGGATGCAGGTTCTTCCCAAGATGACGGTTTGACGAGGCGGATCGAAGGAGAAGGAGGGGAGGGGTGCGTGAGCTTGGGTCGGGCGGGCGCGCGAAACTTTGAGGAGCTTATTTTTAGTTCTGCTTTCCTCGCTGATTTTGCACATGGGAATCTTGTGGTTTTGGGCGAGAGGCTAGATGGCTGGATCGGGAAAGGAGAAGGGAGGGGGATGCTTGTGATGGCAAGCGGGAAAAAGGAGAGAGCAAAATCTCAAAGAGCATTAACGTTGTTGGTGGTGGTGGTTTGAAGTTCCTCCCGTGTGGCTTAGGGGTTTGAATACGGAGAGATCGCGGCGTGGCGGCAGAGACGAGACCCGATGGACGGAAGTGGCGGGTGCACGGTCGGGAGCGAGCACGGGCGCGCGGAGCGTTGGGATGTAATTTGGATTGATGGTGTTGATGACTGATTGTACGGAGTAGTTATGGTGAGATTTGGAAAACGGGCTGCTGAACAGAGAGTTGTTTGTTTGCCCATGTGGCAGGAGGCTGAATGGGGCAGGGACACGGGTTCGAGACTTGCTGTGAGGGAGCAAGCTGATTTGAGTTTCCGGTGATGGGGTTTGACTCGGATGAAGCCTTGAAAGCCTTGTAAACCTGGATCATGCCTCTTTCGGTTTCGTTATTTTTCTGTCTTCTTTCTTGTCTATCTAGGTTTCCCATGGGACTTTAGGCTTCTCCATCATCAATCTTGTGATGGGTCGTTTGGTGTTTGTTGGCGTAAACTCTGAAAAGAGACAATGACTTGTCATTGACGCGTGCGCCTTGCGATGGAGCCTTTCTTTCCCAGTTGAACAGGGAACAGTCGGGAGTGGGTTCGCGATATCTGTTGATTCCCTGGTTGCCTGCCGGGCACGGGCATGGGCGCGGTTTTGCTGCACTGCGTGATTGATGACGATGGATCGCAATATCAAAATTTGTTTTGATATGACGCAAATGGGGACTTGCAACCCCCGGTCCCGAGTACCGAATACCTACCTTGCGCAGCACGAAGTATGGCGATCTGCAGACAAAAAGGACGAAACCTTGATTGTCACTCATGACTCTCTGTCTATTGTCAATCATTGATCACCGACCAGTCGTTGGCCTCATTTCTCTGACTCTCCCTGACTCTTTCGTGGAGCCGTGTCTCTCAGCTGCCGTCTGTCTGTCTCGGTTGGTGGGTATAATTGCTGATCCATTGGTTGGTGCTTGGACGATCCTGTGAGTCTGTGACTGAGCACAGAGATGCTGTGTTTGGCTAGTTGAAGAAGTTGTTTGCTCCCTTCTGCCTTTGTGAGAGACTACACAGTAGGTGGTACGACATTGTACCATTTCCCCCGTCTGACGATAGTAATTGTGATGGTGACGCCTTGTTTTGCAGCTTGCTGTGTATTTTACCTTTTGCTTCGCTGATTTCCTCGTAATTGGGTCATACTTCAAGGTTTCAACGGCGCGGGCGGGAAAGCCGAGCTAAGATGCCACTTTAAAAAGTGCTCAGCGTGACAGCGAGCAAGGTAGGAGTCCAGGACGGCGGATCCCGCGCGCGCGGGGAGGGGAAAAAATGAACTAGAGCAGATTTTCTCTTTCCAACGGCCTGGTATATACTCAGTATGTCAACGCTCAGTAACCCAGTTTGTGCAGTGCCCTTTTCCCTTTGTTTTTCCCTGCTCGGAATTGACCCAAAATTGGGGGATCCAGAAAGGGGTCGCGACAGGGGTGTGAGTTCCCCATCTTTGATGTCCACGTGCGGCCTTCTGGATTTGGGAATGCGGATGCGTGTGCGTGTGTGCCTCGAATCGTGACATATTTTTGACGACGAGTCCAAGCCTATTACGGCGGTTCTGTACCCTTGTAACGTGCAGATGAAAATGCAGAAGCACGTTGGGGATACGGACTTGCGAGAGGGAAGCCAAGGGGACGGGATGAGAAGAATTCGCACAAGTCATAGATTGAGGGTGAAGAGATGGTAGGAAAAGGGGTCACAAAGCGGTCCCGCAATCCCCATCACAAATATTCCGAAGGACCGTCTTATGACCTTTTTGGGAATGAGCGAACTGGAGCGGCGCTTGATCATGAGTTGACACTCGTGACACTGACAGCCAAGAGGAGGAGGAACGCGCTTTCAGATTTTAGAGAAAGGAAGTGATGACCGTCTTCGGGAGAAGGTCCGGGAGGAACAAGATGGAGGTGCGATGGAGGTGCGGTAACCAAGATGCCCAATGGGAGGCCAGAGATGAGAGTAAGAGCGCCGAAAGGAGTAGAAGACGTTGCGGGAGGTACTAAATACGTCTTCTCATTGGCCTGTTGGGATGGAGAGGGGCGGATCTCATCCGAGGACCCCTGCGGCTCAGGGACACAAGAATGCGGGCTCTGACTGGCTGCTTCATCACCCCGGAGGTTCTGAAACGTGCTAAAATCGTGACCGGCGACCACATAAGGTGGGGGGAGAAGCATTTGGGAAGCTGCGACTGAACGGTGAGGTTCCTCCGCCCAACACCACACACACTTCCTGACTTCTAAAGAGGTAGCAAGTACCAAGTTAGCACCTACCTTGTGTGGATGGCATATGCACAATACCAGGAAAATACTTGCGCGGCGGGTTACCCTTGAACCATCGGCTTCCTTTTTGGGAACTTACTCAGCGCGTACTCGACCGGTCCCGCAAACCAGTCAACCAGTGTCGCAGATGCAATGCGCGCTGCTCCCCCTTCTGACCTCGGTGTCTTCTTGGAGGCGAATTTTCCACTTCTTTTACGGAGTACGGCTAGGTTGGTTTGGGGCTCACCGTTGGGCTCCGTCTGTCAAGGTTGGCCTTGAAAAAGCTACTGCCCACTTTTCATGGTGTTGCAACTTTCGCCGCGAGGTTCCGACTTTCGCGAAACCCCCCATGCGAAATACAACGCCAACCGTCCATCCGCCCGTCACAATGTAGGGACGTGTCGACGGTTGTTGGGGCTCTTTGGCATCTGCCTGGGTTCGACCGTGTGGTCACTGCTGCGGGATCGCCTTGGGTATGACGATCCCGTGGGATCTCCCTCGCTTCTTGCTTCTTCTGGCTCCCTGGCAATAGTGAGAGCAGCATTGGAGCAATGACACGACGTGAAAGGGCCAGCTGAAGATGAGGGGCTCGAGGGGAAACCCTGAACTGAGTTTCTATTCGGGGGACGATCATGATGCTGCAAGAATCAGAAACTCCGTCCCGCCCAGCCTCGGACGATCTGCTACTACTGTTGCTCTCACTGCTCTTACTGCTGGAGCCTGTAGCCTGTAAATGCTGCTCCCTCCACCATGGAACCTCGCACCGCCACGCGGCTGCTTCGGTTCATGGTTTCGCAGTTGGGTTTTCTGGGATGCTCAGCTATTGACCATTGCCAATCGTCATACCTTTTGTCAAGCACACCGGGTTTGACGCATTTTGTTGGTCCACCTTACCCCCGCCGTTGCAATTGAGCCAAAAAAGGGCAGAGACCAAAGCAGGCCGATCAGGCTGAATGCGAAAGACCGCTGGATTGAAAATATTTTTGACAACGGGCGCCCCAGACTTTTTTCTTTCCCTCTCAAGTCCTAACCGAACTCAGGTAGAAAGAAAGCGTGAGAAACATAGTCTTTGTCCTTTGTTGCAAACGCAAGGCCCGTCGCCACACCCGAGTTTCTATTAGACGAGGCACCATCACGGCACCAACACCATCACAGAAAAGCAAGAGGTCAAGGCATTGACAGCAACAGCTGACACCTCATCCCACGGACATTGACGCTGCAATTGCGCTTCACCCGCACACCACACGACACCTCCTAGACTCCTAGGAGCTCTGACACCTCTTGTCCCCCAATCTTCCCGCCCTTCCCCATCTGCCCATCCTTCGGCCCATCTTTTTGCTCGGCACGCCGCACCCCCCTTCTCAACTTTCGCCTCTGGGTTCTTCCCCCTTCTCGGCGCTGCTGGACCGGGTATCAAGTCAAAGGCCCGGACGAACAACTCATCGTCCCATCTTCATCCTTCGCTTCTGCCCAATTACCGCGCAGTACCATACTCCCTCATCCTCTCGCTGTCACTCGAACTGGCATCGGATAGAGTTTGTCCAAAAGCCGGGAAGTCAGAGCCAAAGCCTAGAGGGGAACGCCAGGGCCGAACACAGGCAAAGACGGGGCACATTGTTGCAAACAATATACCACAGACCGCGGACGAGACAACCGGTCCACGACGCACCCAGCAGCATTACATGACATACAAGACTGTTTCGGTCGGCAAGCCGGCGTCCAACCCAGTCTATTAAGTAGTCGTCTCTCTACCCTCCCGATTTTCCCTTACAGCAATGGCTGCAGCCTGATCCAGTTTCTCCCGCTCCATACGCAACGTCCGGCCGAACATACGGGGCAATACCAGCCTCTTGAGTCCACCACTGCTTGAAGCTCCTACTCCAACCGAACCCTGGTCTCTGATGATCGCCGCCAAGACCCACCATCAGTCATTTACTTCACGCAGTTGATCGCACTTTTCATCCTTTTCGGTTGTCCCCTTTGGGTCCCCTTGGGTCTTTTTTCACTGCGTTCTCTGCTTGATTTCGGACAAGGGTCGGCCACTTTCTGCGTGGCCGCTGGATACCTTTAAGCTCCTCCTCCTGCAGCTGCTACCCTGGAGGCCACGGAGTATCCGTACTGAGTGTTCGTACCTTGCCTGGAGTCTTGGCCCGAAAAGAAGAAGTTGGCCGAGTCTGCCTCACCTTGCTCCGTCCCTCACTGTCTGCCCACGACCTTACTTCTATCCCCGCCTCCCCCGGTTTCTTCATACTTTTCTTCTTCCTTCAGACCTGACCCGATCGCGCCCCCGGCCTCGGTCTCGTCCTGTACACAGAACGCACGCTGCATTGCTCGTCTTCCACCGCGCTGGCCACCGCATTGCCGCCTGCCCACGTCGACCTCCGATCCTGTGCGACCGTTGCTGGAACAGTTACTATCATGAACGCCTCCTAGAAGGAAGGAGATCCTCTTGTCAATGACCAACTAGGCTCGAAGCCATCCGACACTCCTTTACTAAGACCATCATCAGTCTATTTTCGATTCTGAAAGCTCCAAGCTCGAACCCTCTTACAAGATACCCATTGGGACCGCTTCTTATTAGTGGACACGACCCCCAACAACGACGACTCTACGAATTCTACTTCTTTTGGATACCAACAATATTTCTACTACCCCGTTGCTTATAATGCGAGCAAATATGCCAGCTCCTCTGGATCTCAGCAAATCCAAGCTGTCGATTTCTGACCCGCGGATGAACTTGCGACGGTCTGCCTCACATACGGGTAACACCAACTACGAGAAGATTCCGCTGTCCGCCACCTCGTCCCGCTTCAGCTTCAATCACCTGCTCTTCTCGTCGCCACCGCCGTCCCCAAGCTTACCGGCCCTCATCCCACCTCCCCGAAAATCACCCATCCACCCGCGGCCCAGTCGCGTATTTCGATTCACGTTTTGGTTTGCATTCGGAGCGCTTTTCCTCTACTTTGCGACCTTCCCTTTCCGGAGCATCTTCGGCGTGCCGAAGCTCAACTTGCCTCATCTTGGCAAAAACGATGACTTTGAGATGGTAGGGCAGGATGATTTGCCAGACTTCCCAACTCCTATCGTCATCACCGACAAGAGTGGCAAATCGAAATGGACTGTCTCGATCCCCCCGAGTTACGACTTCCCATTGTCGGTGAAGGAATATGGAGACATGTGTAGCAAGTGCCGTGAGGTGGCTGCCCGTGTGAGGGACATGCGACACCGTTCTCAGGTCACCGACCAGAATCTCTTGAGCAACGATGCTCCGGCCGATCCATATTTTATCGATGTCACGGAAGCCCAGGAATCAGGTCTCCTCCCGGAGTTTGCCACTAGCCAGTGGCCGAGCAAGGGTCAGGGCCGAGACGGAGACCTCGTTGGAGAGAATAAGGACTCTCTGGTTGAGAAGCCTGTTTGCCAGAGGTCAATGACTTTCGTATTGGAGACTGAAGACGCCGGAATCGGACACTCTATCATGCAGCTTTGGACCTTCTACGGGCTTGCACAGAGGCAGGGCCGAGCCTTCTTCATCGACGACTCCCGGTGGGCGTATGGCAAATACACCGACATCTTCCAACCGCCTCCCATTCCCAACTGCCGCCCACCACCACGTCATGAGATGATTCCCTGCCCTCCCCGAGCTCGCCACTTGGTGGTCACCTCAGAAACGGCCAAGTCTCTTTGGGCTGGTTCTTTGAGCAAACCCTATGCCGACTTCCGTGCACAGGACGAGGAAGGTCTTCGCGAACTATTCGATCTCGCGCACGACGGCTACCGGGCACTATTTGATCTCAACAAGGATGACACTCAGTATGTCATCAACAGGGTCAAGGAGGTCAAGACCAAGTCTCTCACAGGAGACGCCAACCCCAACGACGGTCTTGTAGTTGGTGTGCATATTCGGCATGGGGATTGTCACCCGTTGGAATACAAATACCGCGGCACATACATCCCGATGGAGATCATCGCCAACCGCGCCCAGGAGATTATTGACGCCAACTACAACAACACCGGTAGAGATGGTGCAGACGACAAACTTGCCAAGAAGCAGTCGCTGATTGTCATGGCATCCGATGACCCGACCGTGTACGACTCCGAGGACTTCAAGGGCTCGATGCGTGCCCAGGAGCAGATCCGTCTTGCCTCCAAGCAGGAGACCCACAAGCCCGCCACGGACAAGCACGTCATGCACCGTTTCGAGGACGAGTCTTTTGGATGGGAGGGTGGCTTCTTTGCGGCCATGTTCTGGAATCTTGGTCTCTCCTCAATGAGCGCGTCCAACGCTGCAACGGCGAAGAACATGCAGCTGGCTCCCTCGGCCGAGACTCTTCGACTACGCGGCTACATTGGTCGCGCGTATATGATGGACCTTGCTGTGCTCGCCAACGCCAGCGATGCGATTGTCTGCACCGTCAGCGCCATGGGTTGCCGCCTGCTTGCCGTCATGATGGGCTGGGAGTCCGCCATGGAGGCACACAATTGGGTCAACGTCGACGGGCCTTATGGATGGACTGGTATGTCCTTCTGAGCTACCCCGATGACTGCCGCCTACATTTCTACAGAAACAATAAAGGAAGGGCATGCATGGCTTGTATATTTCGGGCCATGAGGAAAGCATTCAACTATTTTTCATCATAGCATGGTTTCCGGTGTTTACGGCGTCCAAAGCAAACAAAGGCAAAAAGTACCTTGCTTGTTTTTTTTTTTTTTCTGTTTTCCTCTTTTTCATTTCTGGCGTGGATTCTTCCTTTCTGGGTTTTTACACAAAAGAGATACCTCTGCAGTTTGATTTGTTTATATCATAACCAACTGCATGCATTCAGGGCTGGCGGATTGCCATGGCCGACGGTCGTTACTGCATCAACTAATTATATTACACAAAAAAACAACCAGACAAACATCAAACAAGGAGCGCAGACTTTATAGTCTAGACGCTAGATAGCAAGAATCAATGTCTTAAGAAAGACATCTCTCTAAACTTTAGCTTGTTCTCCGTGTGATTTGATCATGTCTTGATGAGTAATTATGCTACCAAGAAAACTTGATTATGTTGCTATGAGGTATGTGATAAACACCATCCGCCATACAGTACTCGTGCCCTTTCAGACCAGTATCTTGACAAAGCGGTAATCTCTTGACCTTGTAACTGTAGGTAAGACTGGTCCCATGAACAAGCATAGTAACATTTGGCACCGTCATATGTCAACTTTGCAACATGCTGTCCAGACAGGCTTTGTGAGCATTTTACTATCTTGTCTGTGACAAGAGATCGCTATTGTCTATGTTGTAGTCTTTCTCATGTATTGAGGCAGAAGGGTCGACGACAGGGCATGACATGCGTCATATCCTTGCCATTCCTGCCTTTTCTAGGAAGTCTGTAAAAAGCATGCGATGGACCATGTGGGCTTTTGTAAGTCGCTTCTGGGTGCGTCGTCCGTCGCTAGCAAACGCTACTACAGCTTTTTACAACTCAAGAATGACTACCCGGGTATCGTCAGGCAACAGGAAAAGGCACTCTGGTGACGAGTGTGTCCCACGATGGGCGATGGTCGTGACTCAACGGGCATCCGGGACTCTGCGGCCGAACGCGTTCAACCACAAGCGAGCTGGCATTTTCGCATACCCTGCCCT